AGAATAGCTCTGTTCTTTCATTCTCTTTTAAGGTAAATTCCTCCCTTAGTGATTTTACACTCTTTCCAGTCAGACTAATACTTACGATGTTCCTACAGCGTGCAGAATTACAAATGCTGGAAACAAAATCTCTCAAACGTCTGTCGTTGTCTGCATACCCAGTGTTGTGGTAAGAGAAGCCATGGTATGTTCCCATGTCAAATATTTGGACTGTTTGCTTCTGACAGCTGTCACCATTGTAGCCAAAAGGGCAGATAATCTGTCCTAGTTTCACTTTGTTTGATGCATAATCTCCTATAATGTTAGTATGGAGAATATACTAAACTGGTTAAGTTCCATCGGTGATTATGACCTAGTAGAAGAGCAATTTGATTTTGTGGTGTGAATATCACTTTATGCTGAATGTAACTGGAATGTAAAGCAGTTCAGAAATCATAGTAGTAGAAAAGGAACGATTCTGCGATTTTGTCAGTCATGATATGTGTAGTCTCAGTTTGCCCCTTTCAGTGATGCAAGTCAGAAGTCTCCAAGCAAGCTTGCCAGAAGAACTCTAAGTATTTTCATTTGGAGCTCATTGTTTCTCTTTTTTCCTTTTCTGTTTGTCTTTTTACTCTGTATTTATTTACATTTTGGAATCAGAACTCGAGTGCCTTTCAAGAAATCTTGTTTACTTACTTTTTCCTTTGGTTGTCTCTCCTCAAGTATGCAGCATTATATGGCTTCCTCATTTACATATGTATAATTTTGGGAAAGAATACTAGAAATTAACATAATTCCTGCATTTGTATTCATCTCATAGTAAGTCCAAGAGCAGTAAGGAATGCAGAATAATGTAGTAAAGAATAGAATCCTCTATTATTTATTTTTTTATTAATGTCTGTTTAATAGCAATATTTTAAAAAATGTAACTAAATATACATAAATATTTTGAATTTACAGTGGATCCCATAGTTCTGTGCACTTGACATGCTGACAGTTGAGCAATTGTAATTCATACGATGTTTAACAGAATGCTAAATACATTTCTTTCCACCGTACCAGGCCAATGAATCACATCGATATTGGTTAAACTATGATTTTTTAACCAGATGGTCTTATTGATATTTCAAATGGCAAATATAAAAATTTCATGAGAAGTAGATGTAACAGGCAGCTTCAAATTACAAAAGGTGACTGTTGGCAGAAACAATATCTTGTAAAATAAGTCAGCTTGACTCCGGGCTCCAGACTCCAGCTGCAAAATAAAATGGTTTCATAAAAATGTGTTTAAATACATGTTGCTGCAGGTAAATTGATCCATTTGTCATGTCTTCAAAGTCTTCTGACACTCATGAACTGAAACCACATCAGCAGATCTATGGTCTGGGCCCCTGAATCAAGAAGAATGCTATCTCTTCTGCAAACTTAAGTTCTAGCTATGGCATATGTTCAGACTCTGTAAGAACTACTGTGATGTGCTGCCTATCCCTTACTGCAATGTTTAAAGTTCTTGAGTCACAGAGTTTCAAATATGGAGAAATCCTCTTGGAATCTGAAGGTTTATACAAATGAAAAAATCAAGTAAAACGTTTCTTACATCTTTCAGAAAGTTGAGGAGAAGAGGGTCTTGATGGAAAAGCTAATAAGACAATGATTCCATGTCAAGTGACTGTAAGATGAATCCTAACCCATTGCACTGGATAGTGATACTCCTGATTTATGCCACTGCAGTCAAGAAAAGAACCATGGACCTTATAGTTTATTAAGAAAATCAAGGATGGAATTTTTCCTGACTCAGGCATTCACCAAATTTAAAAAGGAAAAACAAGAATTCAGGTTTTCAATAATGCTTGTTTGGACATTTTCTTGTTAACTTTCATGTGTACAATGATAACACTGTGGTAATGAGCTGGTTCTATTTCTCTACAGTTCCATTATCACTCAGGCTCTCCCACTCTGTTCACAGCACACCACACAAGCACCAAAAAAACCTACTCACTGCCATATTTGTCTTTTCCTTGGCTACCCTGTGGTTCCAGAGGAGCTACAATGGTGGAAAAATGGAGGAATGCAGATATCCAATACAGACTTGCACTCAGTCTTTCCCTCAGAGAGTCGTGAGACTGTACTACTTGATTTATCATAAGCAAATCCATCACCCTTTGTGTTTTTAAGAAAATTATAGACATAGAATATATGCCTCATACACAGGAAACAAAGCAGTAGAACAAAAGGAAAACAAAAGGAAGGAAAATGTTAATGGAGGGACTTTTACTGTTGTATGTACTCTTACGCAAAAGGTCACGTTTCCTGCTGATGTAAGCCAGAGCAGTTCCACTGCATCTGGTTAAAGCTGTACCAACTTAACCCATGCATATTCTCTAGCCCACTATGTCATGCAAGTCAAACCATAGAACTGGAACCTTCCAAGCCTTTCCTATGATGTTGTTAAATTCATATTGCCATTAGAAAAAAAAAATCCTTTTAAAAAAGTTTGCATACGCAACTTACTCACATTGCTTTATTTTTTTGTTGGTTCACAAAAAAAAAAGAAAAAAAAAAAGTATTTCAAGTTGTCATAACCTTGCATTTAGCCAGTGAAAGAGTAATCTTGAAAGGAGAACATTTTTTTTTACAAACTGGACACATACCCTGTTTATTTTTCTCTAAAAGTTGCACACCATAAAGCAAGTAGGTTATATTTTTTGTTTCTTTTAAAACCTTCTTCAGATATTATAATACAAAAATATTCATATTCAAGTAATAAAGATATTTTTTAAACATCCAACTTTCTTAAACCTAAAGCAAAGTCACACAAAAAGTTTTTTTGTTGTTGTTTCTTTCTTTTTTTTTTAATCTAGACAAAGTACACCTTGTGCTTTAACAAACCTACAGCATCATGTGCTCCTATACTCTTCACAAGGATTCTACTAAGTATGTTCATGTGTCATTATTCATTAAATAATACAAAAAATTATATCTGATACAGAACTTGCCTACTTTTGTGGGTTTTATTTCCCTCAATTACGTTGTGTTTTTGTTTTTTTTCCCCCTACATATGTTAATTGTGTATATATGTGTGGAAAAGTTAAGGCAAGTGCAAAATTACAAAAATCAATATTTCTATTGCTAACATGTGCAGCATTCATATTTAGTGAGTGATATCATTTCTCCTGTAAGAATAAAAATTGAAGAAAATACAAGAAGTTTTAATGTCCTATACTTATTACAATGAGCTGTTTTGCTTTATATACCAGTCTTGTTGAATTTTCTGAAGATTTACTGTAAGATCAAACATGTTTCTTTTTAAAGTAATATACACTGAAACTAGACAACATTTTGATCACACCTTTCTTGCTTCTCAGCAATGTGTACACGATTACTACAAAAATGCAGTTGTTCTTAGCTATGACCCATCTATTTTTTTAAAAAATAAATATAAGTTGATCTCTTTAAGTAAAATATCTTAATATACAATATCCATAAATATAATTATTGATGTGCCCCTACTTTTGTGTTTCTGTTTTAACTTCAATGATTCTGCACAAAGTCTATGAAGTTTCCAGCTTTCCACCATACCTGCAGACTTAAAGAAAAGCTTGATATGTATGCATATGTTAATCTGTGGTTTACATAGCAGCAGTAATGGACATTTGGAAAAGGCAATGATTCCGAACTTGAAAATTAAATTGTGGAATAATCAGAAATCTATGTTTGTCAGCTCTGGGCTGGATTCTGCTCTTCTTCATTCTGATCAGACACTGTGTTAATACTCTTGACTTGTGTAGCATAATTTCTGACTTCTGTCAACCACAGAGCAAATTAAGAATGATCTCAAAGCTCAGGATGGTACTTGCTTTTTTCCATCAATGCAAAACTTTGTAAAGTTGGTGAATATAACTTTATACCTGTAATGTGCATACATGTACTTAGCAGGAGATACAGAGCACTTCATCTACTGTTCCTAGTATGTTGGAAGGCCAACTGAAAGCTTTTGGAATAAAGTGCTTTCCAGCTATTTGCTTCAAATAGTGCACTCTCAGGAAGAGACTGTTACATGAGTTCTGTGTTGCACTGTGCTTATGTAGAATCAGCTCCTCCAGAGCTAAATAAAATTAAGAAAGCTAAATCCACTGAACAAATTGTTTATAGCAAAAAGATGCTGCACTTACGCTATCAAGTATTTCTCTACAGATTTATCTTTCTTTATTTGTATTGCATTTGCAGCTGTTTGTAAAAGTGAAACTGCTGCAATATTTCTTTTACTATTGCAAGTAGGCACTTGTTCTTTCTTGTAAAGTTTTTGGTCATTTTGCTTTCTTATCTTCTGAAGAAAGTGCAGTTACAAGCACTGCTCTGAAGATAATGCCTCCTATTTTATGACTTTGGCTCACGACATTAGAGGTGGATGTTTGTGGTACAGCAGTAGAGGTTGAACTTTCCCACCAAGATCCTGTTATATATTGTTGCCATGAGAGAGATGGCAGCAGAGGGGCAGTCGGACACAATGGTGTCCAACACTGAAGTGAGGTGAAGCAAAGATGTGGCATTCAATTTCTCTATGTGGAAAAAATTGACACTCACCGATGCTTGCTGAATGTTTTTGGAGACAAAACAGTGTATGTCAGCATGGTGAGATGGAGGGGTGAAGAATTTAGGCATGCCATGAAAGACAAATCACATTCTGGACAGCTCTGTACAGCTGTCAGCTGTCATACCACAATATGAAGGTCTCCATCAGCTCATCTGCACTCATTGGTGGATTCCGACCAGGAATCTGTGTATGGAGCTGAATATTGGCTTCAGTGCATTGGAAATGATGGTAGCAGTGTTGGAACATCACAAAGTTCGCACCACGTGGGTCCCAGAAATGTTCACACAGGAACAGAAAGAACACCATATGAAAGCTTGTCAGGACCTACCAAATCACTACAAGGCTAAAGGCGGCAGTTTTCCTGGATCACATCGTTACTGGTAACAAGACATGGTGTCACCACTACAAGACAGAGTCAAAATGGCCATGGACTGATGACATGTGAATTCCCCATCAAAGAAAAAGTTCAAGACATAGCCCTTACTGGGTAAAGGCATGTGCATTGTCTTTTGACATGGAAAAGGGGCAATTCCTAAAGGATTTCCTGAAACCCGGACAAAGCATCAACTGCTACATCACAACGTGACTAAGCGTTGAACTTTCAGAGTCAACACAAAGAAAAAGATACCCTTTCTATTGCAACATGATAACACCAGAACTCCAAAACATCAGTTTGAAGACCATGGAGCACACTGGTACTCTTGGCTGGACTGTCCTACCACAGCAGTGGTACAGTCTGGATTTGGCACCTTCTGACTTTCATCTGTTTGGGCCGGTGAAGGATTGACTCCATGGGCAACACATATCTTAGCAAGAACACTGCCATAGCAGCCGTGAAACAGTGGGTCAGCTCTGCTGGTGCAAAAAATGCATAGCTGTTGGTGGTGACTGTTGAAAAACATTGTTTTGTAGCTGAGAATTTTCTCAGTCTTATAGTGTTATTGTTCTCTTTGAAATATTGTAGTTTCCGTGGAAATAAATAGGAGGCATTACTTTCAGAGTGATCTACATATGTACTATATATTAATAAAATGTTTACCTGTGAGATGGTTCATTTGCTTACATTTATTGTATTATTGTATTATGAATAGTAACATGACACTAGTAGCTGCACAGACTTAATACTGTGCTTTATTTGAAAAATTCATATGTGACTAAACATTGATTTAAGCTACATCTCTGGATTTAAGAAGTAATGTTGGGAGGAATGTTTAATTTTTTTTTTTTTTTTTTTTTTTTTTATGATCTAAGATTAATATTTTGTCTCTTAGTATCTTCAGGTCACTAACTACATTGGTTGTCACAGCACTGCCCAACATTGTGCAGTTGCCTACTTTAATATTATTTGCTTCTGGACAGGAATAAGATAAAAGCATTAATGAGTCAGCAAGTCTTCACAATGAAATCAAGATGTTATATATAATTATGTCTGTGCTTGCTGACTCAGTAAAAAGGCTAAATCAGATCTTCAATGGACATTTAGAATAAGTTATAAATGGTGATTATCTTGGGCACGAGGATAGGAAGGTGCAAATTAGTATTTTCTAGTCAGCTATTCAAAACAACCAGCGATGATACTATAGGTAATCATTTATTAACCTTGAGAGAAAACTGATTTTATCTGATTTTAACTGATTTATAACTGATTTTAGTCTTTGAGTCTGTGGAGAATCTTAGCAAGCCAAAAGATGGCAATCAGAACAAACTGAAAGCAAGAAAGTTCAGGTTTCTCACAGCATCTTAATCAAACTATGAGTGTGTAGCATCAAACTCACTGCGTTCGAGCCCATGCATTTTGGAGAGGAGCACCTGAAAGCACTATTTTCCCATTTGAAAATGTCTTTGTTGAGGTGTCTTTGAGGTGGAGAACTGACTAAAGTGGGAGCAGAGGAAATCCAGCAGCTCTCTGAACCAATTACCTATACACAGGTAGAAGACTTTCAGTTCTCTGGAGCTCACCTGCTTTCTTTTCAAGGTATTTATGCCCTCACTAGTCTAATGTATTGCAATGATACCTCCTCAGTCTTGCTGTCTATCTCCTTATGAAAAACAAACTAAATGAAACAAAAAATAGTATGGAGAGCAACAAGGAGTAAAAACATCTTTGCAAATAATACGTATAGATTGTTCAATCAGTCTGTCCCCAACCCCTTATTTTCTAGGCTGCTCTTTTCCAAGGTCCTAAAGAAGCATATCATGCTTAAGATGAAGGAACAAAGATATTTTCTCCAACATGTCATAAAGATCAAGTTGTCAAGAGTCTTTGCTGATGTTTATCTATCTTAAAAATATCAAACAGTAAAAAAAAAAAAAAAAAAGAAAAAAGAAAAAAGAACAAAAAACAGTAGAAATGCTCCTTCATATATAGCATTGACATGTATAGCATTGAATAGCTCGTCTTGTTTATGAGACGAGAATAGTGAAAATGTAAGTACAGAAAATAGGAGATAAACCCAATCAACACAAATTATTATATACCATGATAGGAACTCTGGCAGATATTCCTGTGATTCAGGTAGATCTTGTCATGTAGAAAGAACATTTTCTACCTCTAGCAAGATTATACAAATGACTTCAGATAGCACTCAAGATAGGAAGGAAGTACCTGAGAAATGTGAGTATTTAGTGTCCTACAGGCAAAGAATGTTTGTAATCACCCATGACAGCAGGACTGGTTGAGAGTTCATCACGTATCACCATGCCATGATCAGCAAAGGTCTGCACTGTGTTCCTCACACCGTCTGTCACCTCCAGCTACCCAACTGTATCACGGTGCTACTTAGCAATGATCTGATTAAAAGCTTGTCTTCATTTTGCAATATATGGAAGATATGGTCCTCCAGACAAACACAGATGTTTGGGGCTTCCTTCAATTTTTATGAAAAGGCTACTTATTTTATTTTGTTGCATTGTTCTATGATTAAACAATTACACATTTAAATACTTATGTGCAGGCAAAGAAAAGCATGAAATCTGTTTTGGGATGTAACAAATATTTGAGTGTGCCTAGTGCAACAATTTTTCCCAAGATGTCTTCATGATTTGCAATGATTCATGTGTTTAGCTGAGGTAGACATAGGTTGGTAATCTCAAAGAAAGAACCTGATGTCACTGAACAATTTGTTGAGATAGATGAAGAGATAGTTGTGTAGCTGTTTCCCTCTCTGCTTTGTATTTACATAATTGTTCCATTTTAAGTTGCCTAGGTTTTAAGAAGACAAATGTCCAACACTCTAATGTGATGCTGGAGTTATACACATAATACTAATTGTTTAAATTGTCTACTGAAATGTCCCTAAGAACTTAATTAGAGTTGCAGTGTTCACCTGAGAATACTAACTGCAGCAAACAATTTCTTCTAAGTCTGTATATTCATTGTCATTTGCATCTTAAACTTACAATGAAGGATGAGGCTTTCTAAAAAAAAAATAAGTATAATCTCCCTGTGATTTATCTGTCATGCAAGTAATGAAAAGAAAATTTAAAACTCTTTCCTACGAAACTGCAAGAAAAAACAGTCTGCTTTGGAAGAAGCAGCCCTGAATAATTGCTTGAAATAGGGCTTAGGAACTGAATTGCTATTTTGCTTTATTTGTTTATTTTTATTTATTTCTTTGAGTGTCTGTTCACACCCTGGAGCTATGTAGCAGAAGTGTGAGAATATTTTGAGCCCAAACTGACCTTCTAAAACCTTCTTTTCACTTCACAGGAAGTGTCAAGATATTACCTCAAACGTGCATTCTGTGGGGATGTAAAAAATGGTTTGTGAACTAAGAGCACATACACACAAATATACATAATGCTTTGCTCCTGCTTTGCTTTGCTCTCTTCACAGGAGAGAAGAAATGTACTTCCTGTGAAGACTTTTCACATGTACTCCAATCTGAGGGCTCACAGCAAACTTTGTACTTCTAATACACCCTACAAGGCAAGTGCAGAGAAAACAATGGGATGGGGTTGGATTGGATGGGAGCTGCTGTGAGGGAGTCCAGATTTGAGGTTATCTGATCCTCACAGCTGTTTCTTCTAACTGTCTTTTACTGGACTGCATCCTAACCAGATAAGACAATCTCTTTCTAGGCTCATCTTTGTTTTCACTCCTACAGCAGGAGAAATGTGGTGATGTATTGAGACTGTAGTTTCATTTATATCCTCCTGACTAAGCATGACAGCCAAATGACCCTGTGTGTGCTTCAGGTCTGCAGAGTTCCTCAACTGTGGTCATGTGCTGCAGCCCCTTCCACCATCTTGCACTTCCTTATCCACCACCAAATGTACTAGGGACTGAGGGCTTAGTAGGCATTTATTTTATCTGAATGACTGGAGAGGACAGAAAAGAGCTAACATTTGATTAAAAACAAAAAAAAAGAAGAAAAAAAAAGAAAAGAGAAAAATAATGTAGTAATGTTAAAAAAATATATCCATTTTATTTCTGGAGTAATTTTTGAGTTCATTCTGTCATGCCTTGGTTGGTAAGAGATACGTCTTAGTAAAATAATATAAAGAATATCCCTATCAAATTCTTGGCTCTGAAATTTAACTTCAGGTTCTTTTCCTAATACCAGAGTGACCAGGCAAAGAGGTGTTTGTACTTACTTTAAGCTCAATAATAGAAGATTACCTACTTCCTATACCACTGAGTTATTACTTAGAGAATCATATTATTCATACTCTATCAAATTATATATTTTTAACAACCGAATGCTTCTGAAATTATTTTATCTAGGGTATTGGTTTTTTAATGTAAGAATGCTCTTGAACTGAAGACAGTTGTAGTAATAAACAGAACACTTGTCTTCAACAGTTCTATAGCTCAGTGTGCTTAATTTTTAGTAATATGATCAGCTGCAGAATTTGTAAGTTTCAAACAAGTTATCAGGCCTGCTTTTGTAATTTATGCTTTGACTACTACATAGCTCAATTGACCTCCCATCTACAATGTTTATTGGTCCAGAGCAAAGATCAGAAATGTCACAAACAATATAAACAAACAAAAAGCATAGGAAAGCTCTTGATAGCAGAAACATTTAAATTAGCTTTACTTCCCAGAGCAACAATTCCTAGTTCTGGACCATCAAACAAAGGCCAGCTAGAGGAATACAAGGCTGCCAACACATTTTCTTTGAGGTTATAGCCAGAGTGAAAAGGAAATAGCCCAGCAAAATGACATCAGAAGTGGCAGTTTGGTACTAAGTCCAATATACAAACCCTGTAATGAATCTCAAATGACAGATCATGTCTCAAATGTCCATCATTCAATCTCCACTCTGTGGGCTATTTAGGATGTGAAGAGCTGCGACTGATAGGAAAAAAAAAGCAATCATTATACAAGCAGATTTATTGCTGTGAAAATGCTTAGATTTTTCTGTTTCTAGCCAAACCGATCTCTTGCTCATCTGAAAAATGGGTTATGAAGTGTTCTAATAACAGCAAATCAGATAGGGGGTGAGTTTGAAGGCATACATTTACAATGGATAATAAACTAAATCTTCCACAGAGATTGTTTTTAGCACTGTCAGGTTTCTGCCATCCTCTCTGTTATGACAATAGTGCATGCAACAGAAACTCTCTGTGCTAGACAACTGACAAGTGCAAATCATTCAGGAGTCTATTAGGCACATGGGGATACATTTGTGTTGCTCATCAATCTGGATGGGCCCCAAAAATACCAATTGCGTTATGTAGGTCAGCCAGAGTACAGCGCATTGCATGACAAAAAAAGCCACAATACAGTCAAGGAACAGGCAGGTACTTTGACCTTTATTCTCCACTGGCCTTTATCCTACTTTTTGGCTTACTTTACTGCTGTTATTTTTTATTTCTTTTCTGAATCTTAATTAAATTCTTCTTAGTCTTGCTAGCTTGACTGTTTTTAAGAATGAAAGAAGTCCATTTACTAGGCCAGTTTTGTACAATCTCACTGATCTATATATAATTTATATGTCATTAATGCACAATATTAAAGTAGATTTTTTTAAATTTTAATCAAAAGGATAAAACAGGCTTTCCAATTATTTTTAAATCGATTATCATTAATCACGTATCATACTTCTGATTTTCACAGCTGTATAACAATAGAAAAATCTTAGTTTGCATCTAAAGATAAGAGTATTTAGCTCTGAACCAGATCACATTGGAAGCTCTTGATGTTTGCAGCCGGGTGAGAACTGGGTCCATACTAAAATTCAGAAGACAATTTGCAACCACGGCTTGTAACAGCCTTCAAATGTGAATTCCTTTTCTTTTTGCCTTTCCAATTTTCTTTTCTCACACAAACTCAAATTATACTCATTCAGCTTTATTAGATCTATTCTCAGATTGTACTGCTGCAACTGAGAACAGAATCAGATGTCACAATGCACTTGGTCTTCAAAATAATTAGCTTCATCTTATACAGCTCTCCATTTATGTCAAGCTGCATGTGCTGCCAGGACTTATAAATTGATTAGGTTTATACGTTGTACATAGGTTATATAGCAGAGTCCTTTAGTTTTACAGCAAGGATTACCCTGATAATACAGAGCCTTATAAAGCGCCACATTTGTGTAAATAATGTGCATAGAATCCACGTATACAGACCCCAAATCCTTGACCAGCCAGAGTAAGTTTCTCCAATCATCACACTGTGCAGTTTTAAAAATAAAGTGCTATTTGTTTATGGCTAAATCTTAAATGTGTCTATTGCATGCACACTTCGGACTGTAGGGTCAAAACTGGAATACCTTCACCAATAAAGGATGGAGCCTAATCCCTAGGGCAGTGAAAGATTATATTTTTCCATTTTATTTTTTGTTCCAATAGAACTTTTGTCAAACACAGAGTATGTTGAACACACAGCAGTTTCCTTCACTGTTTCCCACACAGAGCTGAGCTGTTTATAGAGGAGGAATACCAAGAAGGAATGTTTTTGAAGTGATAGATAGCTTCTACATTTCTTTCTTTCTTCTTTTCTTTCCTTCTCTCTCTCTTTCTTTCCTTCCTTCTTCCTATTTTTTTTTAATATTATAATAAAAGTATTATAAAGAAAATCTCTTTTTTAAAAAAAGTACTGTGAATATCAAATTGTATCCATCAGTCCCTGAATCATGCTATTCAAAGTGCTTAAATTTGCATTAAAATAGAACAGAAAAGTATTCCCTGTGTGGCTAAGGAACAAACTACCTAACACTGCCTAAAAATGACTGTGGTTAGATAGATACATTCTACATTTATTCCACATCCCAGTCTTTTCTACAGGGCATGTAAGAGGGAAGGAAAATGAAGGAAAAAAGAAAAAAAAAAAAATTGTTTTTAGAGGGTACTGGTACATTTGGCATTCAGTTGAATGAAGAAAAATGCCATCAGTGCCTGACAGGTGTCTGTAAGAGTGAATAAATAATAGCTTTCTTACACTATGAAGAAAACAAAAGTGCAAAGCTCCTTTAGAATTTCATCTGGCCTGGCAGCTTCATTTCCATTTTGTGGACATTTGGCACATGTCCAGAGGGAGACACCATGATAGATTGTAGAAAAGGATTTGAGCAAATTGTCAGAGAAATGAACATTTTAAAGCAAGCAAAAATCAGTGCACATCCCAAAGCTCTATTGGCTTGTTATGCACATACTGAGACTTCTTGACTTTCACAACACGATCATAGTTACATCCTCCCACGCTGTCAGTTCTGGATTACTCCCACAAACGTCCCCCAAACTGCAGTTTACCTCTTCTTTACTCATTACTTCTCATTAAGAAGACCAAAATATTATAAGCTGTACTTTTCTCCTTGAGACAATTAAGATGAACAAACCCCACACATCCCTTATATTGGCTAATATCAGTCAGCTACCACAAAAATTCCTAAAGCTAATTAATTGCAGAAACAGACGATCAGGTTTGTCTGCCAGGCTACCAGCTACATTTTTGCCAGAGTCAATCAAACCCACGACTCTATGAGAGTATGCTGCAAGCAGCAATTCTGCCTCTGCTCTTCTGCTTCTGCTAGCAGAGACTGGCAGACAGCTTGGCCTGAATACCGTGTACAGCTACAACAGTGCTCTGTGCTCTTTCTCAAACCATAAAGGACTCTTCCTTTATTTAAAATGTAAGTTGCTTGGTTCATTTGTCTTAAAGATGCCCAGATATAAAGACAGTGGTTTTTTTCTTCCCTGGCAACCATGGTAAAGGCATTATCTGCAATTCCTCAAAGATAGAAACATACATAAAAAATAAAACTAATTTATTTATTCATTAAAGTGAATAAATTGTTTTTAATACTTCAAAGTCTTATTTAAATATTAATTTTGTATAAATAAAGTTTATTCTGAAAACAATTATATTTGTTGGTGTTCATGTTTCTTTTTTTTTCTTTTTTGCCTGAGTTCTTACTGAAATCATGTTAAAATTAAGCTTTACTTATTGTTACAAGCTAAAACCAAATTAAATAGTATTTTTTCATCTTGAATATATCATTTTAAAGCAAATACAATTTTGAACATTAAAATACAAGGGGACTCTGCAATCCACAGCAAAATAATGTTTTGCTCTTCCTTTTTCAGAAAATAACACTTTCTTTAATACATAATGGCAACCATCTAAGATACTGCCTTTTTATTCCCCTTTGGTTTGGAAATCATCACTGTAAATATCAGCAGGACTCACTGTACTTCAGTGCCTATTGCCTGACTTGTCTTGCTTTCCTAAAAATTGGAAATGATCTTATTTGCAGGGTTTTTAAAGGAGGGAAAGAAAAAAGTCAAATGCTTAAAAATAAAATCCACGACCACATTAATACTTTTCCAGGAAGTGTTAAAAATAGGGCTTGCTTTTATATTTATAAAAGGGGTACAATTGACTCATTCTTAAAACAAAAACAAAAAAATAAATCTCCCAAGAAAGCAAAAATCAAACCATCTCTATTTTCTACACATTCTGTAGTGACTACTGTGAAGCAACCGATACAGATTGGGTATAGTCTGTTTAACAAGTTTCTACCAAGTTAAATGTTAGATGATCAGACTGTAGTGTTACCCCAAATGGGGCCATTGTAAGAGCAGGGAGTGATGCACATTACAGGGGAAGAAATGAAACAAAGGCTCTCAGTGAGGGATGGGATCATTCTAAGAACAAATATTACCCAAAACAGGTGAATTGCAGCAGGCATGGCCTTCAGGAATCAGGCTAGGCAGGCCAACAAAATGGATGGCGCATCTGATATCAACATAGCTTTGTCCAAGCATTCCCAAGAGAGGTTAAAAACGAACCAAAAAAAAAGTCTAAAACTATACTAATGAAGCCAAAAAGTTTCCTATCTATACAGCAGTCTCTTCATTAAAAAAATGTAAATATACAAATTCCAATGACATATAAAACAAAGTCGAAAATGTGTATGGGAAGAGAACATGGGTAAAACAGGAAGACCGATGCTACAAAGAAATTGCAAAAAACGTATGTACAAGACCCTGTTTTTCCTCATATATTATCGATTGTAATGCATGTTTAACAGCAGCAGTCGAGGATGTAGTTCCAGGCACCGGACTGCAGACTCAGCTTCTACTCAAGGGGATGGATAGCCCCTTGCATTTCTGTCACCAAATGACACTTGATATACTGGTCTCCCGTGGCAAGAGGGGCAGTATCGCACTGTTTGTGTGAGCCTCTTCTGGATTCTGCTCCCTGTTAGTTTTTGTCTGTGGCCGCTGCCCGTTTATTAGTGTCATAGGGATGTTGCAGTAGGTATGCTGGTTACCTATTGAGGTAAGCGGCAGGGTGCCGGTAGGAGGTACATCATATTCATAGCTTCGATAATAGTGTTTCTGGCGCATCTGTGAATGATATGTGTTATGAAAGGTGGAGCGTAGATCTGGATGAGCAGTGGCAAGAGCAGTAGAGGTGGCAGCAGCCATTGAAATTGCAGAGACTGTCTGCAGTTCCCCAAAGGGCCCCTGCTCACTGACATCTAAAACCTGCTCGTGTGTGATGGGTTCAGTCCTCTTAAAAGGCATTTCGTACTGTAAACGTTTCCAGAATTTGGAATTCAACTTGTTGCATTTTGGTCCATGCCATTTAATGACAGTGAGGAGCTTGATGGTATGTTTCAGGGCCTCAACCTCCTGATAGTTCATAACTCCTCGCAGTTCACTGCATTCAATCAGTATCACTTTAATTTCTCCTGTGACTAACATGTTCCGAAGCCTTGTTTCCAGTTCAAAGATGCTCCAGCCTCTTCTTACCACATAATTTGGGGTCATGACGATGATCAGTCGCTTGCTTTGGTCTACACATCTTGCCACGTCTTCAATGTAGGCTACAAAATAAGACAATTGCTCAAAAATCAAGGCAAGAAAATATTTCATTCCCATAGGCTGGAGAGAAATAACAGAAGCAAACCCCCTTCTCCCAGAAAAGTTCTCTGAATGCTGCAAAAACATCACTTTCAAACATGTAAACTTTGCTTGCCAGGACAAGTTTTTTGGATAACCCGTTCTGGATGACCCTGCTTGAACAAGACAGCTGATGCAGATGACATCCAGAAGTTATTTCCAACCTCAAGCATTCTATGATTCAGTGAAATATTTACTTCCCATTGGGCTACGTTTTGGTAGTGTTTGTAAATGAACTGTCAATTTGTGCCTATATCTTTTCTGGAACAAGCGTGTCCATCATCATTTTATTCATCACCATTTTCTAAAAAGTCACCCAGACAGGCAACAGAGCAGAAGCTGTGTTTTATTGTCAGCCTAAAAAGCAAATGATATTCTAAGGTCTACTGATTCACTAGATTGTTGTTTTCCTTTCATGCATTCACAGAAACAGAGCTGTGTCCTGCAAATTAATGTTTAGGATACTGTAGATTTGAAAATATCCATGTGCTTATGATTAAGGTTGTGTTTTACTTATCCTTTCTTATAAATATGAATTCAATAAAATAGTTTGAACTTAGTAGTTTTATAAATGCCTACAACTGAAGTTACGAACTGCAACTTACAAATATTACTGAGCATAGGTTGGAATACCTCAAATATATATGAAAAAAATCTACTTATTTCAGTTGGAATCAATTCTCAGTTTCAGTCTCTGAAAATGATCCAGTGCCTCCACTACAGTTTATCTACCAGCAGTCTTTTATTTACTCTGCTGCAGATGTTTTCTCTCAGCTCTTGACTTAGACCAAAGACAACTGCTTTCTTCCTGTCTGAATCTCTGTATAGACGGATAGCGATAATTATTTAGTTGTTTTTATATTAGTGTGATGGATATATTTCCAAGGAAACACTTAGGAATAGAAAATAAAAACCTCTTTATTAATTCCTAGGTGTGGAGAATCTCAAATAATCTGTGAATAAATATTAATCTTATTAATTTCCATTACCTATGCATGCCCTGTCTGCACTGTCTCACCTTCAATGAATATAATACACTTAGTAAAATATAATCTTCTTATCTAGGAAATGTACATCAAGCATATTTGGTGACTTATCTTATTCCACAAGATGATAGAGTTAAGATGACATTGGAAAGGGACAAGCATAGAATTAATACTTAAATAATATATGCAACCACAGCATATGTCGTGTAGAAAATACACAAACATAAAGACATACTTACTTCCTGTGGGAATCAAATCTCTGTCTGGTATGAACAACTTGTATCCATAATGCTTTTCAAGCATATCTGGTAAGATCTCAAGAGCAAATCTTTCTTCTTCTCCAGTTTCTTGATTCCACTGATCAGGATCCACTTTGGTATAAGATAGATATGCATCATAGTCCTTGTTGTCTAAAAAAATACAAGGAAAAAAACGAAATTACATTATTTGCTGTTCTTGCATATTGCTTAGATGATTGCTCAGGAATTATTCCTCAAAGAATTTCTCAGGAATGGTAAATTGCTTAGATAAAATAGCAAACTTTTACCCATTCTCCAGTTATGAAGCCATTCATCTTTTATGTTCCACCTAGTGGAGTTAATCCTTAATTACATGGATACAAGACAGAAGGGATCCACACCCATACACTGAACTCAGTTTGTGCATAAATATTTGTGTGAGGCTCTGCATGAAGGAAATCCACTCAGCTGTCTGGTGGCAGCTTGTGAGCACAGAAAAAAAGTCACTGAAAGAATCCAAATTGTTTCCTAGCTTTAAAATAGAAAGGAAAAGCATGGAAATACCCATACAAATGAACAGTTCTTTCTCTTATATATAAAAATATTTATTTTTGTCAAATTTTCACTATAAATGTAAGGCTTAGAATGCTCTAAACATGTGCATACATTTACTTGTAAAATTCATTATTTTCCCAAGTCTGGGATTATTGCCAAACTTAGATCTTTGTAGCATCAGATCCCAATTATGCAGTTTAAATATCCTGAATTCTATGTGCTTAAATATGCTAATTTAATGATACATTAATTTTACATTTTACATAATTTTACATTTTAGTCTTTAACAGTGTATTATTTCATTTCAATTAAGTGAAATATTTGTGTCTGTATCTTAAATGTGCTTGGTGTGCTTACTTGAAAGACTGAATCAAAAAAGTCATCATTACTTTTCATTAAGAGGTCGATAATGCCAAGTGCTCTGGAACTAATTCAGTGGAATAAGAGGTCGCATTTTGAATTTTGTTGTGAAGAATGCAGAAAAAAATCAATGGCAAGATTAATGAAATGTTAACATCCTTCTAACCTTCTTGATGACATTATGCTCAGGCTGTGGAGAATATCAATTGCTTGTAAAAGAGATGTGACTGAATACTCTACCATGTGGTATAAGTGATGCTACACTCTTCAATGCTGACTTCCCTTTTTTTCTCAGCCAATGATTTTGCAATTTTTGTACTTTGGTTGCACTATTTGGAAAAGCCTGCTGAAAGTAGGAAGGGTGCAAAGTGTATGAGTAAAATTAAAGAGCAGGCACTAGTCTTGAGTTGTCTACTCTTCCTTCCAAAGAACCACTCATATTTTGTTCATTAAAATCTGCAGAAGACAAAATTAAAATGGTAAAACTTTTTTCAAAGTTTCAAAACCAATGAAACGACCGTGTGCTTGATTTTCTCTCCTACACAATTTATCTGAAATTATATGTTGAAGTGTTTGTTCTCAAAAAAATAATGAACAGCAAAAACCAATACTACCAACAAACGAGATAAATAATGCCTTCCTTTGATCCATTATTTCATTATTTCAGTACTTGTGAAACCATAATCCTTCAAGATAAAGAAGCACCTAATGCCTCTGATATTGCCACTGAATAGATCAAATGCAAACAAGTGGGAGATTACAGAATAAGTTCTGACACTACAATAGGATAGTCTTAACCCAGCAATAGTGTTAACACATAGAAAGGTCAGGATATATATGGGGAAGTCACCACAACTGACGTGATGATGCGGTCATGCCATTTTCTTTTCTTGCCTTAGTAATGGCCATAATGACATTACAGGCTTTAGAGAAGCATTAATCCATTGGAAACCTTTGAATAAATATGAAAATGTGTCATTTCTCAAAGGAATGAATCATAAAAAATAATGCAGCATTGAAACTGTTTTGAAGGCTTCAAGATATCGTCTGTGAAGACAGTTTGCACGTTCTTCATTTGAGGGAAACTTATTCACACTGTGCCAAAACTTTCTTGAGCACACAATTATGATTCTAATGCTTTTTTTTTTTTAATAAATATAAATTTTCGTAACATGAAGGATCCAGCATTCCTACTGACTATAGTTGTGTTATCTGTGATTGCAGGGAACATTTCTTTCAACCCTAGTTCCCTACTTTTAATAGTATTTGCAAGTGTAGGAGAGCCAAGATTTACAGTACACGTACACAGATGGGTTCAAGCAAACATGAATTTATTTAAACTCCAGTACAGCTAGATGTGTAGTCCAGTCTGGGAAACTGTTAGATGCTTTAGCACAGTGGTTTTCCTGAACTATCATACTCTCCATCTTTCAGTTATTTTTTAACTTTGATGAAAAGTAGAAAGCTCAATTTACAGCAGAATTACTTTATGCAGTAATTTTGTTATCCAATGGGCTGACATACTGGCATAAGCAGACAATTCTAAAAATGTGAGATGTCTGGTATACACAGGGTATGATCACATCACTCCCATCTTCAGGAAAGTATTTTAACACAGAGTAGGTGACCTCTCTGATCGTGGTTTGTGGAACTGATGTCAATATTCTAAATGTCTATGTCTGTATTCTGATCTTCACTCTTTTTTTTTTTTTTTTTTAATGTTCTGTCTCCATGGACTGAGAGAGAGCCAGAAGCCATAGGGCTCTTGTGGCTGAGTCAAAGCCTGGCAGCTGGGGCACATATCTTGCCAGTCTTTTGGCCATGTCATGTGGAAGCAAGAGGCTCTGCAAACCCTTTTCTGTTGGGTTCTATTCTACCTAGGCCTTCTTTTGCATAAAAGCACATCCGGGCGACCTCAGACTCAGAGCAAGTATGCAGTAAATACACCATAGCTTTCTGTTTTCTGAACTTCTCACTGGAACATACATTTTACACTTGAAAATATTTGGTTTCAGAATATCTTCCTTTTCCACAACAACCAACCAAACAAACAGAAACAAAGCAAACAAAATTTAATCAGAAATTTCCTAATCTTCTCCTAATTACAATCAAGTCACAAAGGACTTGATATTACTGTGTAATATGGTAATAACTAAATCCTTCCAGATTTTGGGTACATCATGTTGTCTGGAGCAAATATTTAGTTGTAGAATAGAAAGGCAAAAATCCAAAAGTGAAACAAATCTGGTAGCTTCCCATACTTAATTTTACAAAGAGAATTTCCTCATTTTCCCTTGTCAGCAAACAATGAAGTCTTCTATCCAAGTATTCTCAGAGTGAAAATGTGACTGACTGTTGCTGCACTTTCTTGTTCAAAGATTTATTGTTGTCAGGCTCCTGTGTATTAGCAATAAGCAGGAATATAGTTACACACTGCCTGTTTCCTCCCTCAGGAAGAAAAATACCTGCTAATTATCAAATGCATGGATTTTGATCATTTCATCTGAAACTTTTATTTTTCCTGTGGAGATTCAGAGCAATTTTCTACATACACTTTTGTACCTGAAAGCATTGTTCTTCCCTTCTCTGTTTCAGGATTCTTTTTTAAATAAACATCAGAATAAATTCTTCTAGCTTTATATCCAAGTACTTTGCAGAGCTGTTTCATGCAATAGCTGTCCTTTAATTCAGTAAACACATCTGAGTATGGCATACAGTACCGTACAATGGCAATACTTTTTGCTGTAGATGGGAAGAGGCTTTTTTTTACCTCTTCCCATTCCTTGTGAACAGACAAATAATCCTTTGCGGTTATGAGGTTTATAATTATTTTCTGCTGCTTACTAGGTGTCATACAACTAGGATGGAGCTCTTTATGGATGGAGGCTGGTAACAAGTGGTGTCCCCCAAGGGTCTGTCTTGGGACCGATGCTCTTTAACATCTTTATTAATGACATCGATGAGGGAATTGAGTGCACCCTCAGCAAGTTTGCTGACGACACCAAGCTGAGTGGTGCGGTTGATACGGTGGAAGGAAGGGATGCCATTCAGAGGGACCTCGACAGGCTTGAGGGCAGGGCTCGGGTGAACCTAATGAGGTTCAACACGGCAAAGTGCAAGGTTTTGCATTTGGGCCGGAAGAACCCCAGGCACCCGTACAGGCTGGGAGGAGTGGTCCTTGAGAGCAGCTCGGCAGAGAAGGACCTCGGGGTCCTGATGGACGAGAGACTGAACATGAGCCAGCAGTGCGCTCAGGCAGCTCGAAAGGCAAATGGGATCCTGGGCTCCATCAGGAGAGGGGTGGTCAGCAGGGACAGGGAGGTGATTGTCCCTCTCTACTGGGCTCTTGTGAGGCCCCATCTGGAGTACTGTGTCCAGGTGTGGAGCCCTCAGTACAAGAAAGACATTGAGATTTTGGAAAGGGTCCAGAGGAGGGCGACTAAGATGATCAGGGGGCTGGAGCACCTCCCCTATGAGGACAGGCTGAGGGAGTTGGGCTTGTTCAGCCTGGAGAAGAGAAGGCTGCGGGGTGACCTCATTGCAGCCTATCAATACCTGAAGGGAACCTACACCCAGGAGGGGAGTAAACTCTTCAAAAGGGCTGACAACAGCAGGACTAGGGGAAATGGATCCAAGTTGAAGGAGGGAAGATTTAGGTTGGATGTTAGGGGGAAATTCTTTACAAGGAGAGTGGTTAGGCCCTGGAACGGGCTGCCCAGGGAGGTTGTGGATGCCCCGTCCTTGGACGTGTTTAAGGCCAGGTTGGACAGGGTCCTGGGCAACCTGATCTGAATGTGTATGTTTGGTGGCCCTGCTAGGCAGGGGGGTTGGAACTACATGATCCTTGAGGTCCCTTCCAACCCGGGTGATTCTGTGATTCTGTGATTCTGTGATTCTTTAGCTCAACAGCCTCCATTAATTTAAAAGGCTGAAATGAAACATAAAACAGACATTGCACGGGCAAATTTAATGAAAAATAATAATAATTCATGGGTTCTTGTATGAGAATACATTGAAGCTCTGGATTAGTTTGGTACAGTGAGGTCAGGCATGGCCCATGCTACAGGTACAATGCACGTCAGTCAACCAAAGACCACTTGTACTTCAAGACTCTGGTTAAACAGGCTGGGAAGTACAAACTTTGCTGTGGCATTTTAATTGTTGTATGGAGTTGAAAGTAAAGACACTGACTAGCGGTCTTGGACTCAGCCAAAGGTCAGACAAAATTATTTGGATCAGTCTTAGGGGTGGACATT